ACACTGTGTCAAAAAAAAAAAAAAAAAAAAAAAAAGAATGAGATCTCACTAAGGGGAGGGAGGGAGGGAGAGCATATTCCAGAATGTTTCCCCATCTCTTTGCCATTATCATGGTTTTTCCATTTGCTTATTTGATGGTTTGGTAACTAGTGGCTTCTCATTGTTGCTTTAATGCCTGCTCCTTTCATTTATTCAACAGCTATTTACTACACTCCTAATATGTGCCAGGCACTGTGCCAAGTCCTGGAGGTGCAGCAGTGACTAGCATGGCCCCCTCAGTCTTCTTTACAAAGTGTGAGATGCACCTGAGACTCAAAGAGGTTAAGGAATGGGCCTGGGGTCACCCAGCAAGGGAATGGGGGAGCTGGGATTTGAAGCTGGGTCTATGTGGCTACAGGGTTTGAGGTCTTTTTCCTCTTAAATCATAGCTCATGTCGGCATCTCCACCCAGGGTCTACCCTCTCCTCTGACCGCTTCGTTCCCCTTGGTGATCCCTCAGGCCTGCGGGAGTGACAGCCCCCCAGGTCACCCCAGGCAGGCCAGGCTACACCTCATTGTTCTCCAAACCTCACCTCACCCTGAGTAGCCCACTGAAATGAAATCCCTGAGTATCAAGATAGATCATCTTCAGAACCCGCATACTCTCTTGCTGACTGAATTTATTGCCTGTCTCTTTCCATTTCCTGAATTTGGGTCTCCAGCAGGCCTGCCCCCGGACCTACTGCCACCCACCCTAAGTGAAAGAATGAATCTGTGGTTGGATTTTTTGCCTATCATCATCGTGCGTCTGACTGCGTGAGGGTGGCATGTGCTGTGAGTGCTTGCTTACCTGTGTGTTTCCTGTGGGAAGGGTTGGGGGAGGTGACCGAGAGCCTGCATGCATGTGTAGGGGTGTGTGTGTGTATTTGGGGTCCATGTGTGAATGTGGGCCTCAGTGTCGAGTGGATTTGCACAGCTGTTTTTTTGTGTATGTGGCCAGGAGTTTGAGGCTGTGATGAGCTGTGATCATGTGTGTGGCTATTCTGCCACTTTCGTCTCAGTGTTGGTTTCAGGGACATGTGGAGTTAAGGATAGCACCATAAGCCACACGCATGACCCAGTCCATTGGCTTATAATAAAAGATCTGCCTTTAGTCATCATATCATAAAAGGAAACAGGTCAGGAAGTCAGGAGGTCCTTTGGTGAGTGGGGCTCAAAGTCCCCGACCTTATATCTAACCCTGTCTCCACTTCCTCTTTCAAAATGTGTTCCTAAATTTTTTTGCACTGATGTGTCAGTGACTATCGTGGCTTAATGTGGCCTTACATTTTCAGTTGGGAACCTGGAAGTTTGGGACAAGACATGAATCTCTTATCTCAGACCTGTCTACCAGGAGTCCTTGACCAAGTTATTTCACCTGTGAGTCTCAGCTTCTTCATCTGTACAGTGAGAGCAATAATATCTCTTGTTGAAGAGTGTGGATTCTGTGCAAATGTTTATGTCAAAATATCTGACGTCTAGTCGGTGCTCAATAAATGCGATTCCCAAGCCTGCTTAGGTCCTTCCCCACACCCTCTCCCAATAGAAATAACCTGGGAACATTGCCCGCTGTGAGGGGAGGATAAAGGAGCCCAAGGAAAGGAGATTGACAGTGGTGTAGAGTGGCATTGATGGGATGGGCCAGGCCCTCTGTTGGATGCTTGCATATGCATTGTCTCAGTGAACCCCCCCAGGGACAGGAGGCACTGTTAGCCTCCCATTTTACAGAAGAGACCAGGATGCAGAGGGGGGACCTGAGTTGCTCAAGGCCACACAGCTGAGATCTGAAAGAGGAACTTCCATGGTACGCCACTGCCTAGGACGGGCTCAGCAAAGCTCGGGGTCCTGCAAGGCCTTCCCCAGACATCTGGGTCTGTTTCCCTCCACTGCATACACCCCACCACCACTCACTTCTACTCCTGCCCCACCTCCCTGCACGGGTTCACCCGTTCCTTCAGCCCAAATGCTAAATGCCACACAAAAGGAAACAAAGTGACCCTGTGTCTGGCACTGTGCTGGGCAACTTCCCACACATCAGGCTGCTGGGTACTTTGCCCCCCGCCATGTCGGAATTATGACCCCCTTCGACAGAGGTGAGTGAGGCTCAGAGTGGTTTAGTCCTAGCACCCCCAGCTAGGAGAGCAAGAATCAGGGCAAACGAGTCTGACCCTGAAAACAAGCCTGGTGGATATGAAGGTCAGAAGCCATTTTACACAAGATGCTGACCATTCCCCAGTCCTTTGGTCTGGCAGCCAGCGTTCCTTCATGAAAATCTGCCTGGTACTTTTTAGCCATTTTACACAAGATGCTGACCATTCCCCAGTCCTTTGGTCTGGCAGCCAGCGTTCCTTCATGATAATCTGCCTGGTACTTTTTTTATTAATAGCAGAGGCTCACTGAGAGCCAAGCACTGAGCCCAGACACTGTGTCACGACACATGGCACATGGACCTCTCCCAGCCGCACAGCAAGGGCGCCCATTTTGCAGATGAGGGCAGGTTTTCCTAAGATTCATGTCCATAGCTGTCTCCATGTCTACTTGGAAGCAGGGTTCTGTCCGGTTCACCCTTATCTCCCCTCCTGGGCCTTCTCACAAAGCCCACGCAAGCGGGTGCTCAGTAAATGTTTATGGAAGAGGAATGAGGAAGGTTTTCCCGTTGTCCTGGGAAATCTCTCTGCTAGACCAGGCTGCCATTCTGCCAATTGCTATACCTGTCCCATCCCCTGCAGTCCAGTCTCCACACAGCAGCCAGTGCCATTTTGAAAACACACACCAGGCTTGGCGCAGTGGTTTACGCCTGTAATCCCAACACTTTGGGAGGCCAAGGTGGGTGGATCACTTGAGGTCAGGAGTTTGAGACCAGCCTGATCAACATGGTGAAAGCTCATCTCTACTAGAAAAAAAAAATACAAAAATTAGGGGGTTGGGGCAAAGGGGAGAGACAGCATTTGGACAAATACCTAATGCATGCGGGGCTAAAAACCTGGATGATGGGTTTTTGCAGCAAACCACCATGGCACATGTATACCTATGTAATAAACCTGCGTGTTCTGCACATGTATCCCAGAACTTAAATAAAAATTTTAAAAAGCAGTGACAGAATACCTGCACAGTGAGGAAAAAAAATACAAAAATTAGCTAGGCATTGTAGCGGGTACCTGTAATCCCAGCTACTTGGAAGGCTGAGGCAGGAGTATTGCTTGAACCGGGGAGGCAGAGGTTGCAATGAGCCAAGATTGCATCACCACCCTCCAGCCTGGGCGACAGAGACTGTCTCAAAAAAAAAAAAAAGTTAGGCATTGTGGCGCATGTCATGTTACTCGGGAACCTGAGACGGGAGGATGGCTTGAGCCTGGGAGATCAAAGCTACAGTGAGCCATGATTGTACCATAACCTGGTCTCAAAAGCACACACCAGACTCTATCAACTCACTGTTGAGAGCCTCCCCTGACTTCTCACACCAAGAATAATGTCCAGGCTCCTTCCTGCTGAACTTGGTCCAACCCCAGCATGGTCTGGCCCCTGCCTGGTGCCCCCAGCTCATGTCTCAGCACCTGCAAATTCTACGCCAGCTCCTCTGGAACACAATTTCTAACCCAGGCTCATTCCCTCACTGGGACATGACATCTGCTTCCTTGACACAGCTCATCCTGACAAGTCTTGTGTGTTTGGACTGTAAGCTCCATGAGGGCAGGACCTTGTGTGTTCTCTAGTTCTGTTCCCAGAGCCCAGCACAGCCCCTGAATGGACTTTGGTCCTTTAGTAAAAGTGTTGAAATGGCAGCTTTGAAGAACGTTGAGGTTGGTACTATTTTACAGAATCAACAAGGGAGGTCCAGAGATGGATCACAGTCCAAGGTCACACAGCAAGTACGAAAGATGAGCCAGGCTTCAAACTCAGGATGCTCTGGACTGCAGAATGCACATTCTGAACCCCTCTTCCTGCCTCCTGTCATGTTCTGTGGATCACATGAATAGATGTGGACTGTGTTATTCAGGCAGTGTTGCCCATCCACTCTGCAGGCTTCTTGACATCCCATCCCCATTTATTTCTGTCCCTTTGCAGGCCCCCAAAACATGTAACGCCTTTATTAGTGAAATCAAAATGACTACTCAGGGATAGTCTTGCAGGGTACACGCTTTAATTAGTGTTGCATAGAAATCACCATAGTAACACGTTCCTGCAAGAAGATGGACTTCATCCTAGCCTTCTATGCATGATAGCATTTCTCATTTGGGTGAAACACGCAGGAACAAGCCAAGGAGTGCAGTCTCATTCGTTGGATTTCTGTCCTAAGGGATTAATAGTGAGAAAGGAACCTTTAATAGCTGAGCACTTCATGAAATCACTGACCTTTACATCTTACAACTAATTTGTGATTGAATATGGGGTGGAAATAGTTTACGTCAGTGTCCTTTTGACCTATGTGAATCTGTCCATCCATCCATTTATCCCTTCTATTTGTCATCCATCAATTCGTTAGTTCACCCATTCTATTCATATATACAACATTTCTTTCCCATTCTATCCCATTAGTCTAGACATGTATTCTTCCATCTATCAATTCATTCAATTACTTCATTCAAATAAATGTATCAATTCATCATCCCTCCATCTATCTAGAAATCTGAGCTATCGTCCACCTACCTAGCCAACCATTATTTAACCAATCAAACCAACCCATCAAAACTAACTCTGTATTCAACCGTTTCATCTACCAACCATATTTTTCCAGTTAATCATCTACCTAACAAAGCAATGACTAGCCAGCCAGTGCATTAATCCATTTATTCACCCATCCAGCTAATCACATCCAACCTTCCTGCCATTCACCCAATGCATTCTTCCAACTATCCTTTCTATTATTTATTATTTACCCACCCACTCATCCACCCAACCTCTCAACCCCATTCATACTTCCATCTAGCTAATCTGCTGACTGTCCAACCTTCCATTCTTCCAATCAACCCATCCAATTTATTCAAAGTCTGTCAGTGTTGATACATTCAGCTGACCAACTGCCATTGTTTCTCTTCTCCGTCTTCATCCTTGCCTGTGGTTCCTCTGTGACCTGGCTGCACCCTTCCCCTCACTGCCCCCAGGGTCTGCTCCCTGTCATCTGTGGGCTCTGTGACCCTTCCCCACCTCCTTAAAGGGTACCTGAGCTCCGCTTCTTGGTTTTGTACACCTGCCGGATCCTCTTGGCCATTTTTCTCTTGTTCATCTTGACTTCCAAGTTCTTTCTTCTCTTGGGGCAGCTGCTGTAAAGGATGGTGGGCCGCGTGGGAGAGTGGTGGGAGTTCATGGTCTTTTTGTGGTGCTTTGGTGGTGGGCTGGGGCTGGGACTCTGGCCCTGGCGGCCGGATGAGCTCTGGGCGCCGGGTGGGCTGTGGTGGGTGGTCGGGCTGCGGCTGGAGCTCCGGCTCTGGCTGCAATGCTGGCTGCAGGTCTGGCAGTGGCGGCTGCAGGTGCACGGCCTGCAGGTGGGGCTTTGGGGCCGAGAGTTGCTATGGGGCTGGGTGTGGGTGATGGGAAGGCTGTGAGTCTTGGTGTCCATAGGAGGCCACGATTGGAGGGGCAGGGCCTCCTCTTCCTCCTCTCCCAGCAGGCCTAGATTTACAGAGGCCCTGGCAGCCCCTGGTTATATAGTTGGGGCTGATTATGATGGCACAGGCCACAGGGGTGTGACAGATGTGGCCCAGCCAAGACAAAGCCCCCTATCCCTTACCCTCATCCCCAGGGTGGGGCTGTGCTTAGGGGTACCCTGGGGTAGTCCCAGCTGCTGGTTCAGGGTAGGAGCCCTTGGGTCAGATGGAGCTTTGTCTGCATTCCAGATCTGCTTTTTCCGCATGGCCAGTCCTGGGGATTCGCCTGAACAAGCCTCAGTTTCCCCATCCCTGCAGAATAGAGACAATAATTGTACTCGCCTCATATGGACATTAGAAGAATTACTAATAAAGGAGAGAATTTATGTCAAGCAGTTAGCCCAGGCCCAGTCCGCAATAAGAGCTCAGTAAAATCACTGACCAGCATCATCAGGTCTTTTTCTTAACCCCCTCGGCAGCTCGGGCGCCAGGGGTGCAGCCCTGACCCTAGTGATGGCAGCTGAATGGTGGGCAGTTGGTAAGATAGATTAGTGTCTGGATGATGGGGAGGTGATGAATTGATCAGATGACTTGGTGGATGGGTGAAAGATGAGTAACCACATGGACTAAGGGGTGGTTCTGGGGCCCTTCCTGCAAGCCCACCCCCCCAGCCAGATGGAATGTCGGGAGATTCTGAGCCAGGTTCAAATCCCAGTTTGTACTGATGTCCAACCTTGGGTAGGCCATTGTGGTTTCTGAGGCTTAGTTGCCTTATGTGACAAAGAGGTGTCTTTCCTTCCTTCCTTGCATTCTTGTGCGCCTGAGATGCCTGTCAAACTATAGGAGGCCCTTGGAAACCCGACTTTCTCCTTCAGTTTCTGCCTCTTGATTCTCCTCCGCTCCCTGCTAACGAAGACTTGCTGTTCAGTCTGAATCATGCCTTCCCTGCTCAGACACCCCAGCAACTGGAGAATAAAGCCCAGACTTATGTTTGAACACCAGGTCATTTGATCTTCTACTCTCTGGGTGTCCATTCAGAGACCCCCACCCCTCCCTGCCTTGGCCGATGCCTTTGCACTTGGCCCTAGGCCTGTACTTCCCCACTGGTCCCTGCATGGAGCGCCCTCTGTCTCTGTCTCCCCTCCTCCAGCAGGCCCCAGCCCAAGGCAGCTTCTCACTTTGCCCATGTGCAGCTTTGCCTCTTGCTATGAGGATTTGCAATCATCTGCTTTTATATAGTTTTTTTTCTTTTTCTTTTTTTCAAGACAGGGTCTTGCTGTGTTGCCCAGGCTAGAGTGCAGTGGCATGATTACAGCTCCCTGCAGCCTCCTAAATTCAAACGATCCTCCCACCTCAGCCTCCTGAGTAGCTATGACTATAGATGCATGCCACCACACTTGTCTAATTTTTTTGAATTTTTTTTTTTGTAGAGACAGGGTCTCACTTTGTTGCCCAGGTGGGTCTTGAACTCATGAGCTCAAGATATCCTCCTGATTTGGCCTCCCAAAGTGCTGGGACTACAGGTATGAGCCACCATGCCCAGCCTTTGCAGTTTATTTCTTAATAAACATGAAATTTCTCACAGTGATAACCGCTTTCATTTATCGAATGCTTTCTACATGGCTGGGCTCTGGGCTTCACCCTCCCCAGGCAGCTTCGCCCTCAAGCCTTAAAGTGACTCTTTGTAGTGGACTGAATGGCGGCCCCCAAAAATCTATGTCCACGTTGTAACTCCTAGAACCTGTCAATGTGATATTATTTGGAAAAGGGGGTCTTTGCAGATGTATTTAATCTGAGAATCTGGAGATGAGCATGTTGACTTAGACAGTGGGCCCTAAATCCAAATCCAAATGGCCTTACGAGGGACAGGAGAGTTGTCACTCAGGACGAGCTTGGAGTTCTTTTTTTTTTTTTTTTTTGGAACAAAGTCTCACTCTGTTGCCCAGGCTAGAGTGTAGTGACACAATCTCTGCTCCCTGCAACCTCTGCCTCCCAGGTTCAAGCAATTCTGCTGCCTCAGCTTCCCGAGTAGCTGGGATTACAGGTGCACGCCACCATGTCCAGCTAATTTTTGTATTTTTAGTAGAGATGGGGTTTCACCATGTTGGCCAGGCTGGTCTTGAACTCCTGAGCTCATGAGTTGCCCACCTTGGTCTCCCAAAGTGCTGAGATTGTAGGCGTGAGCCTCCTCACCCGGCTGAAAAGCTTGGAGTTCTATGAACTAGAGAAGGCAAGGAAGGATTCTTTACTAAGGCCCCTGGAGGGAGGTCAGCCCAGCTGCTGCCTGGACTTCAGACTTCTGGCCTTCAGAACTGCAGAGAACACATTCCTATTGTTTTTAGCCACCAACGTTGTGGTAATTTTGTATGGCAGCTACAGGAAACTAACATACCCCATGAGGCAGCTACAATGATTACATTTAGCAAAGAGGAAACAGGCTCAGAGAGGTGGAGGAGCCAGCCCAGAGTCCCCCAGCTGCTCAGGGGCAGACCAGTCATATTCAGCTTTGGTTGCCTCTGGAGGTCACTAACGGGTTCTTAGAGATTAGAGAGGCACCTACAGCAGGGTTCTCAGGGCCTTGCTGTGGGTGGGCTCAGCAGGTCCAGTAGTGGGCTGTGCGGGTCTCTGGACCCCTCTTCCCATGACCTCCTGCTCCTCCACTGCCGACGCCCCACTTCCCCTCCTTCGAGCAGGGCGTGGAGATCTCGGCCTGCCATCAGCTGGCCTCTCCTCCACACACCTTTCCAGCCCTCCCAGGGAGGGCCAACCTCTCCCAGCAGCAGGTGTGCAGCACATCACATACCTGCCCCCGCCCCCATGACTGTGAACTCTCTTCCAGGATGGCAGGGACTGTGTTTCATAGTACCAGTGCCCCTGGTGACTAGCACCATGCCGTGCGTAAGACAGGGGCTCAGCTCACGTTTCCTAGGCAAATGAATGGGCGGGTGGACCTTGGGCCTTGGACAAAAGAACAAAGCTGGCCAAACGAGTCATTTGTGGGGCTGGGAGTGGTGGAGTAGCGAGGCCTCCCCTTCCCTCCAGCCTACCCTCAGCCATTGCAAGGGAGAGCAGTGGCCTCACCTCGGGGTAGCCCAAGGCCCCTTGCTACCCTCACACACAGCCCCCAGAGAAACTGAGGCTTCCCTGAAAATTTCCCATCCCCTCCCGCCCCACTGCCACAGCACCAACTAGGATCCCCTTGGGAACAGGTGGCTGGGGCCTGGAGGACTGTGAGGGAATGGGGTGGTGATCACACTTGTCACTTCTTTTGGATGGAAGGGATGAGGGAGGAGCCAGGGCTGGGTTGGGCAGAAGACATGTTCTGAAGCTTCTCACAGAAGGCGCACTGAGCCCAGAGCCAGAGGACGGGGCCTGGGTTCTGTGTCTGCACCCAGTCACCTCCCTGGACCTCCTTTGCCTGCTGCTCTCAGGGGGCACTGTCTCTGCCCCCAGGGCTAGACCCCTTGAAGAAGGCAGGAGTGAGCTTCCAGGTGGGGGTGCAGATGGTCGCCGGCAGCATAGACTGGCAGTGGAAGAGTCCGAGGCAGACTATGACCCCAGCAACAATCCCTGTTCTAGCTTGGCACTGGTGGTGCCAGGCCTGGTTCCGCCCAGTACTTGAGCTAATTCTCCTGATCAGCTGAGCCATGAGTAGCGATTAGCTTCCCCCAAATCCTGGGAGGGGCAGGCTGAGGTCCAAAGACACGCAGTGACTTGCCCAAGGGCACACAGCTGGCAGAAAAGAAGTTTGAACCCAGGTCTGCTGAACTCCCAAGCCAATGTTCTTAAAAGTCTATCCGTGGTTGGGGGTACAGTGGGATGAAGACAGTTATCCTGTCCTAAAGACGGGAAGATTTGGCTGAGATGATTCCCCCTCCCAAAGACCCTGAACCTCTGGCTGGGGCTTGGGAACAAGGTCACTGAGCCCTGCTCTTCAGCCTTCCTCCACGTGCACCCACACATGCCCACACCCACACGCTCACACATTCACGTGTGCACATGCGGTACCAGGAGGGAGGGGGTGAGGGGACACCAGAGACAGGGAGGATTCCTCAGAGACTTTTTACTGACTCCTCTCTGAATACTTTGGTGGGAGCAGTGGTGGGCACCCCTTCCTCGCTGTGGTCACGGGTCAGGAGTGCGTCTGCTTGGGCTCGGGGCTCTGCTTGGCCTTGGCACTGTCCTCATCCTCTTCCTGCCGCTCCGGCTCCATCAGTAGCAGCTTGCCCTGGACTGGCAGCTCCTCTTCCTCCTCATCTTCTTCCTCTTTCTCCTCCTCGTCTTCCTCGCCCTCTGATGACAGGGAGAAGTTATCCTGACTCACGCAGGCCACGAGCTTCTTCATGGAGGATTCGTGGCCACGGCCATGGCTCGTGCTGTGGCCCATACTGTGGCCAGTGCTATGGCCCGGGCTGTGGCCTATGCTGAGCTTGGCACAGCGGGAACCCATGGTCCACGTTGCCTGTCTCTCTGGACTGGGAGGCGAGGTAGTTGGTGGAGGGGCTGTGAGTGGGGGCAGGATGCTGACATCACAAAGGGGCTCCTGGAGCCCACCCCCACTTGGGAACCTGGGTCTGAGTCAACAGCTGACTCAGACCTCAGCCACCAGCAGCTGCCAGCCCCTACAGGGCAGGTCTGCAAGGCAGAGTGTTGGGGCCAGCGCCGACACCATAGTCCTCATTTGCCCTGGAGAGTTTCCCTTGTAGCTGGGATGGCAGTTAGGGATTGAATTTCTAGAAGTGTGGTGGTCGGGGGCACACACAGACTCCTCCTCACATTCCGGAAAGAGTCAGCCAGAGAGAGCTGTCCATGTTGTTTCTTGACTGCTCACCCTTCGGAATAAATCACCAAGGTGTGTGCCCTCTATAAGCTTTACCTTCATAAAACTCAGGGACCCTTAGAACTCTTCCTTCCGGGGCCTGAAAGTGTGAAATCTTCTTGAACAGCAACGGCTTCTAAGCTTTTTTTGTTAGTCTAAAGGCATGGGCACAGGCCAGAAGCCAAGCTGGGATGAACAAGGGGTTGCTCTGTCCCTGACTGATGGGAGATGGACACCAGCAACCGGATGCCACCCTCCCCAGGTCAGGGCAGAGTGACATCCTCTAAGTTGTTTAGGGCCACAGGTCTCTTTGAAGACATCTTGGAACTGCCCCATAGCAAGGCTCCCCTGTCTGTGCAGCACCATTTCAGCATGGGGGGAGGGGGTTTAGCACTTTTTTTTTTTTTTTGAGACAGAGTCTCGCTTTGTTGCCAGGCTGGAGTGCAGTGGTGAGAGCTTGGCTCACTGCAACCTCTGCCTCCCAGTTCAAGCGATTCTCCTGCCTCAGCCTCCCAAGTAGCTGGTACTACAGGCACTTGCCACTATACCCAGCTAATTTTTATATTTTTAATAGAGACAGGGTTTATCGTGTTGGCCAGGATGATCTCAATTTGTTGACCTCATGATCTGCCCACCTCAGCCTCCCATAGTGCTGGGATTACAGGCATGAGCCTGTAATTACAACCACCCCTGACCCGTCATTTTTTATTTATTTATTTTTTTTTGAGTCGGAGTCTCACTCTGTCACCAGGCTGGAGTGCAGTGGCGCGATCTTGGCTCACTGTAACCTCCACCTCCTGGGTTCAAGCGATTCTCCTGCCTCAGCCTCCCAGGTAGCTGGGATTACAGGCGCCCGCCACCATGCCCAGCTAATTTTTGTATTTTTATTAGAGACAGGGTTTCATCATGTTGTCCAGGATGGTCTCGATCTCTTGACCTCGTGATCCGCCCACCTCAGCCTCCCAAAATGCTGGGATTACAGGCATGAGCCACTGTGCCCGGCCAACTTTTTTTTTTTTATACATTGAAATGAGTCTTTTGTAAATGGCAGTGGTATTTTTTTAATTTAAATTTTTTCAGGCTGGGCATGGTGGCTCATGCCTGTAATTCTAGCACTTTGGGAGGCAAGGCAGGTGAATCATCTGAGGTCAGGAGTTAGAGACCAGCCTGGCCAACATTGTGAAACCCTTGCTTTACTAAAAATACCAAAAATATATTTTTTAGCTCCTCCAGCTACTCAGGAGGTTACGCAGGAGAATCACTTGAACCCAGGAGGTGGAGTTTGCAGTGAGCCACTGCACTCCATCCTGGGTAACAAGAGCAAAACCCCATCTCAAAAAAAAATGTTTTTTTTTCGGAAAGTCATTTCTTCATAAAGATTGGTCATTTCTGAGCACCAGGAATCCATTTTCCAACATAGAGGTTGGATCATGCCAATTTTCTTCCCCCAGTCCTGTGGTTGGCTAAATGCCTCTCCAAAATGCCCACGTCCTAATCCTAGAATTTGTGATGTGAGATGGGGAAGTTATCCTGGTTTGTCCAGAAAGTCTCACAAGGGTCCTTGATTTCAGACAGGAGGTGGGAGTGATGCACCCACAAGCCAAGGAGAGCAGGCAGCAAGAATCGGATTCTCCCTGAGCCTCCAGAGGCCTCAGTCAGCCCAGGCCTCACATAGCCAGAGTAATCTGCTCCTTGCCTTTTGCCCCCTCTATGCTAACTGAGTTGTTGCTGGAGCATGCCAGACCTGCTTCCCACCTTGAAGCCATTGCGGGCACTGCTCCTCTGCCCACACCGTTTGCACACAGTAGGTCTTTTAAATATGGCTACAAGATGCCTTGATATCTTTGTGACTTAATTAGGGCTTGATCTGTTCTAACCATTTTCTCCTTTCATGGGGTAGGATTAGGCTCTTCACTGGATGGGGATCAAGACAGAATAATGTGGCCTTTGACAGCATGGAAAGATGCATAGGACAGCATCACCCCCAGGCACAGTAACGCTCTCCTAGGCGCCCTAAGAGCGTCACAGCTCCCACCCTACCCGCCCTCGAAGAAGGGCTGCAGAGAAGCCTCTATCCACCCTGGGCGAGAGGGAAGCCAGGTTTATGCAGTTTGTGCAAAGGAGACCCCAGTAGGCCAGCGAGTATCTTGTCAAGCTTTATTGGGCAGGTGACTTGGGCATATTTCACTCAGATCTTGTGAGCTTCTCAGCAGCAATTCAGGGCTTGAGCATTTGATGTAGGGGTGTTGCTATGGCCTCACTTGGTGTTTCTTGGGCAGGTGACTTTTAACTTCCAGGAGGGGGCGAGGGGCCCAGGAAGCTTAGTACCTTCTGCATCTTCTCCTCCTCCTGGATTTGCAGCCTTTGGGGAAAGAAAGATCTGGTTGAGGGGGGCACCTAGAGACTCTGGGTGGGGATGGGGGTCAGGGAGCTGAAGCCTCTGCCAGGTGGGGTGGGTCCCAGCCTCCCTCCTGTGCCTGGGGTGGTCAGGGGCATGAAGGGGGGCATGGGCAGACCTCTGCGATACCGCCTCCGGTATCGGCAGCAACGTCTTCTGCGCCTTCTGCAGGAGCGACGCCGTCTTCTGTGAATCCGGTACAGCCGTCTGCGAGAGCAGCGCCTGCGCCTGTAGCGATAGCAGACTCGGTGGGTCCTCCCGTAGGCCTCAACGCCTTCTGGGCTCAGCCCCTGCTCTTCTTGGGCATTACGTCCTTGCTCCTGCCCGTTCACCAGCTGCCTGAACTCCTCGTGTGGGCGTTCGCTCGGGCTCCTCAAGCGGCATCGGACCATGGTGTTGGGAGATCCGGTGGCTCCTGGGCTGAGGCTGCAGTGGGCCCTGGGGTGGGGGAGGAGGGCTGAGGCCTGCCCACCTGCCCTTGGTGTTAGTGTTGGTCTGGTCTGTGAGGCTCCCGGGGAGCTTGTATATAAAGGGGGGCCCTACTATGACTCGGTGACCCCGCCCTGTCCCCGCCCTTCCCAGCCTCCTCTGTGAGGGCAGCATGGGCTGGGGGTCACAGCTAGCAGGGCTCTGGCACCCAAGCTGCAGGGCTAGAAGGACAAGAGACCCCCTTGCCTTGCCTGTAAAGTATGTCCCCTGTCTCTTGTAGCGGGTGCAATCATACAGATGGCTGGCGTTTTATTGTCTAATCCAAGCTCTCATTGCCCCAAGCCGGTGGGAATGCACACTGTCACTTGGAAGTGTCCTCGCCTCTTCGGTGTTGTGCTGTGTTCCACCATGTGGAAGGGACTTCCGTGCTGGCTCTGCACGCAGCTTACTGTTGAGATGGCGGCAGCAGCAAACAGTTCCCTAGTAGCTCCTATGTGCCAAGCATTGATTCATTTATATCCCATACATTCACTCATTTTGTCTCTCTCTCTATCTTTTTTTTTTGAGACAGTATCTGTCACCCAGGCTGGAGTGCAGTGGCACAATTGTGGCTCGCTGCAGCCTCTACCCCCTGGGCTCAGATGATCCTCCCGCCTCAGCCTCCTGAGTAGCTGGGACTATAGGTGTGTGCTGCCACTCCCTGCTAATTGTTGTATTTTTTGTAGAGATGGGGTCTCACCATGTTGCCCTGGCTGGTCTCAAACTCCTGGCCTCAAACCCCCATGTTGGCCTCCCAGAGTGCTGGGATTAGAGGTGTGAGCTGCCACCCCTGGGCATTCCTCACTCGTACCGTCCCCATTTTCCGTGGGACAAACAGGCATGAACAGATTGAGTTGCTCAAGGCCACTCTGCTGAGAAGCACAGGCTGGGCCAGCATTCAGAGACAGCCTGGCTCTACTCGTACCCTTGGCTCTCTGCCTACGCCCAGTGGAGGGGATGTTCCCCTCTCCTCCTCTCAGATACGCATCTTCTTTCCTCCCACTCAGCCTTGCCAGAGCTTCTCATTGAACTTGGATGATCCCATTAAAGTCCAGGATCAGAATCACAGAAACTGCAAAACCAGTTTCCCTTTCATGGAGGGCAGGAAGGATGTGGGAATGTGGCAGACCGGCAGGACGTGAAGATGCAGAGATCATCCCGGATGATCTTGGTTGGCCCAGTGCATTCACAAGGGCCCTGAGAAGAGAGAAGAGGGAGGCAGGAGGCTCACAGGAGGAGAAATTGGAAGAAGCCATGCTGCTGTCTTTGAAGATGAAGGGAGAGGCTATGAGCTATAGGGTCCAGCCCTATAGGTTTCTGTGAGCCCCTCCCTATTGGTGCAGAGACGAGAGACTGTAGAGATAAGACACAGACACAGAGATAGAGAAAAGAGAGTGTGGGCTCAGGGGTCTAAGATTTCGAAGTATGAGCTTCATACTTATATATTGTATCACTGTCAAGCTATTCAGCATTAACCTTTTAAGTTAAAGACGGAGAGAACCTCTCTCTACAGTGAATGCCTCAACTAGATATCTCACCATGACCAATGGCCAACCACAGCATGGGGACCTGCAGTGGCCCCGAGTGCCAGGACACTCTGACTTTTATTGAGTACAAAGCAGGGGGCAGGGAAGGTAGGGTGAGGTAATGGTGGTCGGTGATAGGGTCGGGTAAATCACATGTCTTGAAGATAGGGGGCCCAAGACTTTCAAGTAGCCGAGGGGAGGAGAAAGCCAATGAGTCAGCGCTCTTCGCATATTTGCCAGAAATATCAAGGACACTAAGATTATGTTACTATTATTAATTCTTATCTTTTAAGAAAAAGAGAAACCAGATGCAGAAGCAGGGTGGGAGAGTAGACACGGAGCATGACCACCGAAGCACAGCATCACATAGAGACAGTTAAGCCCCTGGATGTCTGGGGGAATCCCTGACAGCCGTCAGGCCTTGCCACAAGAGCTTGGAAGAGTGGAGTTTTCTCCTAACTCCCCCAGGAAGAAGACGTCTCGGCCGTTCTGGACATTTCCTTCCCTAGCTGGCTAAATAGCAGGCGCTTTCCCAGCGCTGGCACTGCCGCACAGCCGAGGCGCCCTCCAACAGCCCTATGCGGACGTCACAGAGGGCTTAGAGCATCTTGCCTTAGGATCACTTTGTTCACGACGTCACCTCAGTTCCATGCTTCATAACCCGATAGTCATTAGTAAAATTAAAGGTTATATTGAGTATATATCTTTATGATTATAAGTGAGTAACTATAAGATTACGTATTATTATATAAAGGAATAACTAGGTGCCTAAATTACTAATTCATTTCTAAATCGATATTTATATTGGAACAGGCTGAGGCTTCAGACCCTTGCCACAGCACTTGCAGCAATTCCCCGCTGCAATGAGCTAAGGCAGGCAGCCTCTCGGGGATGGACAGGGAAATGGGTTATCCTCCCCTTGTGCATCCAGGAGGAACACAGCCCTGCTGATTCCTTGATTTTAGCCCCATGAGACCCGTTTCAGAATTCTGACTGCAGACCTGTAAGTTAACATATTTGTGTTGTTTAAAGCTACAAAACTTGTGGCAATCTGTCATGGTAGCATTAGGAAACAAAGTCGGAGGGCTTAATCTTCAGATCCTTGCAGGAGGTGACGGGCGATATTGCCATGCCTGCGGTGTTTCTGTGCTGCCTCTCTTTGAGGATAAGAAGGTCCTTTGGAGTGGCCCTCAAGCTCCCTGAGGGCATATGTTAAAAATATGAATGCTAGGGCCTTACCCTACATCCTGTTAAGTCAAATCTCCATGGCCAGAGCTTGCTGATGAAAATAGGAAGGAGCTGGTGTGCTGGCTCACACCTGTAAGGCCGAGGTGGGAGGACCACTTGAGCCCAGGAGTTTGAGACCAGCCTGGGCAACACAGTGAGGCCCCCGTCTACAAAAAGGAAAAAAATTAGCCTGGATGTGGTGGCATGTGCCTGTAGTCCCTGCTACTCAGGAGGCTGTGTGGGGGAGGATCGCTTGAGCCCAGGAGGTCGAGGCTGCAGCGAGCCACGTTCACACCACTGCACTCCAGGGTCTGCCTGTCCAGCCAAGCTGCTGTCATGACCTGACTGTGTTATGGAGAGCCATTGCTGAAGTGATCAGGGTTATGGTGGTGGCAGGGCTAGCACTGAACTCTGATGTGCTCCAGCCACTCAGGAGGCCAGGAGGCTGAAGTAGGGGAATCACTTGAGCCCCGGAGGTTGAGGCTGCAGTGAGCTGTGTTTGCATCACTGCACTCTAGCCTGGGTGACAGAGAGAGACCCTGTCTCAAAAAAAAAAAAAAAAAGGAAGTGATGTGTGCAGAATGCTAGGCACACAGTTGGTGCCCCACAAACAAAAGTCATACTGTGACATTTCTGAGGTGCTTGGTGCACCCTGTCACTTCAGGGAACTGGGTCTCAGAGCCTCTGGTCCCTGCCGAAGTGCTCTGGGCGTTGCTCTACCATCATGAAATGACTGTGAGCCAGGGTCGTGTCAAGGAATCAGAGAGGGTGGGCTTTCTTAGGCTGGGAGTGAGCCAAGTAGACCTATGCCCTCTAGGATTGCTTGTGTCTGGGTGGCTGCCTCACTTCTCATCCCTCCCCACATCACTGGGGTCTTAAACTCTCTTGCCTTGGAAATTTTAGTGTAGGTAGTATATTATACACAACTTGAGTGGGGACTTAGGTTCGACCAGACGGACACATTAACCTTTGTTTCCTCAAGTGAGCATAACGTTGTGAAACCTGCCCCAAAGAGTAAAGAAACCAGTGGTTAACAAAATGTTTGGGTTTGCAGGATGGTAGATAAGAAATTTCCTTAATGGCACTTGACTAAATGAAGTTCAGCTACCTGTACGCGTTATCACTGTGGCCGGTAATGAGGAATAAACAGTTCTGTGACTGGCTTAATCTATTTAATTTGTAAACTAAGAGTTCATTTATGGAAATTTCAGCTTTGGGCTAAAATAAACCCCGGGTGGGCAGCTAGGGGACAGGTCAGATAAGGGGAGCTGAATTCCAGCTGGACAATGTTTAACCGGAACCCCAGGGATGGAGGCAACCCAGATTTGTAGCATTTGCTAATTTCTGTAAATTTCCATGGTCCATTTCAAGCTGCCAGGATAAAGTCACTGAGCAGAGTGGGAAAATGTACATAGCGGGTCCTCTAACTTGGTTGCCACAACCCCACTGGGTAGGGATCTGTGAAGAGGGTGTTTGGGAGGCAGGTTCTGGTTGTGACTGGGGGAGGCAAGTTTTGATTGTGACTTGAGGCAGGTTTTGATTGTGACTTGAGGCAGGTTTTGGTTGTGACTTGTTGGTACAAGAGTTTGGAATAAAACCCAGTATGATAACTGTTACTCTCTCATGTCCCCCCCACCCACATCCTTCCCCGTCGCTTGCCCAGGCCCTCTCCCCATCTGCTCATCCTGAGCCCTCTTCCCCACTGAGCCTCCCCTCTCAAGGACAAGGAGACAAGAGTGGGATGACTTTTTAACATTTATTGACAGGCGGCATTGTTCCTTAGCAGGCTCCTGTTTTCATTGCATGGTGGCATTTTCAAGATGTGGCAAGAGGGTCTTGAAGTCTGGTAAAATTCTCAGGCAGGAGTTTGGTGGACTTGCTATTTTGTGCAATTATGTGCAGTTAGTATCTTCTACACCTCAGTCTGTACCTGCGGCGGCAGCACCCTGGTGAGACCAAGAAAGGTGGTGAGAGGAAGCTTGGGCCCCAGAGCTCCCAGCCCCAGCCCACCCTCAGCTGGGCTCACTTACTCCTGGCTCTCCGTCTCCGGCACCGCCTCCTTCGTCTGCGACATCTTCGTCTTTGGCGGTAGCATCTGCTCCGGCTCCGGCTGCGGCAGCATCTGTACCTGGCCATGGTGCAGGATGGGCTTGGCCTGGACGCACAGAGCAGGGCACCACCTTGGCTGAGCCAGCCAACCTGTGAGCAGGTGGAACTCCGTGGGCTGTGAGTCAGGGCCTGGCCCTGTGGCCTTTTATAGACGCCGGGGGGCCCTTGGGCATTGTGAGGGCAAAGGGGCTGGGACCTCACAGACCATGGCCAGGCGGCCTGCATCATGTCCATATATGGGCATGTGAGGGTCAGGCGGGGCCCTGAGTGAGGGGGCTACCTATGTCACGGCCAGGGAGACACAAGATGACTCCTCTATGGGAGCAATCATCTAGTTGTTCAATT